TCTCTCCCTCCTCCCTCCCATTTTTAACTGCAGAGATGAGAAAATTACCACTAAATATTAAGAAATAGCTATGGTATACCCTCTGTAGTCTCCAATATGTTCAGGCGTACTGGTTTTTTGGCATTATGAGCACTTGCAAAAATTTTGTTTCAGGACTTATATTTTCCAAATATTTGTCTACCACCCCTAAATGCACTTTTTTCCTCCTGTAAAAGAAAATTCATTTTTCCTTGGTGGATTTGTGTTACCCCACTTTATATATCTGCATATGCATACAACTTAGAGTACACCTGGCTTTAAGTCTTTAATACCACTGTCCTGATACTTGTACCTTTAGTACTCAGGACTTCATTAAACTTATTACAGGTATTAAATTTTAATAAGGTATACTCTGTTTCAATGCTGTGGGCATAAAGGCTCTTAAGAGGTATGTTTCTTCTATTTTCCATCTATATTATGAGGTACTTTAACTTCTTTGCACAAAGGCCTTTCTTACCATCTTTTTGAGACGTTCTTGTAAAGTGGTGGAGACTTTTGGCAGCAAAATCCTTCCTTTGCTGAAGACAACAACCTTAGTTTAGGCTTTTTATCTCAGAACAAGTTCCTTTCTTCCTTAACTGCTTCCTTGTCTTGCAATTTGAACTACTTACTTTGCAAAATTTTTTTCTGCCTTCCATCAGGAATAGATTTGGAAAATGAAAAACAGCCATTCCTCCCATTCTTTCTATCAATTGACCTTGTTACACAACATCTTCTCTGTGACATCAGTGGAATGTCAGGTTTGAAATAAATTGTTGAAATGAACAAGTTTGAAATATTATTTACTAAATCTTTGTGTGATCTGCTGGCTTTAAACCAATACTCCTGATTAAAACAAACAAACAAACCCACCACAAAACACCTATTGGCAAGTGATATCAGCTTTTACATTATTTAGAAAACCAAATGTATTTATCTTACTGTGATTCCTGAGGCACAGCTCAAGCTCAGCACACTTAGGTGCCTTTTGGCTAAGTATCTACTCCTTGCAGGAAGAAAATTGTAGAGATAGGGTGGTCTGTCACTTGCAAAGGGCAATGAATAGGCTACTTAATTTTGAAAGAGATCAGAAAAGTAAAATTCCTGGAAGAATACTATTAGAAGAAGAAAGATGTGATGCAGTAAAGTGCTAACCCATCCTCAGCTCTTAAGGATTAAAAAAAAAAAAAAAAAAAAGAAAAAAAGGAAGAGCAGGATCTGAAGTTTACTATTGTAGCATTTCTCTCCCTTGTTGCAACCACAGGTATCTTTTATCTCTTCCATCACCTTCGTGGTATCACAAAGGTTTGTTTCTCCTGTACTCCTGAACCTTAAGGAAAATCCACTACCTGAACAAGAAACTCCTGGCATCTGATGACAGAAAATAGTCACAATATGTACCAACTGTACAAAATGCTACACAGAAGATATGCTTAACCCTTGACAGCTGCCAACAGTGAAAGAAATGCTCCTGAATGTCAGTGACAGATACTTTGCTCTAAGGTAAGGTCTGCTTTGTCAGGCCACTGCAAAATAAAAAACGAGCCAGCAAAGAAATGCTGGGGGATGCCCTATACCCCAAATTGCTCCATCCAGCATGGAATTTAGAACAACTCCCTGGCTGCTTTATGATACGCTATCTTATCACAGTCCCAGAGGGCTTGCAAGTCCAGACCACTGTCTTAGAAGAACCGTTCGAAAAAGAACAATGCAACCCTTCTTCTTGCTAGAGAAACTGTTAATTGCACTTCAAGGGTAAGTCAGAAAAGCCTACACTGGAAAAGGGGGAGAGAAGTCAACTCTATGCATTTAAGTCCTGATATTACATGTTTGTGTAATCTTAAAGTCCAATGAAACACGGAAGACATGCCTCTCATTGGTAATACAGGAAATACAAGATAAACAAGAAGTATGTCAGAGCAAATTGTAGGAAACAGGAAACAGAACACATAGCCTGGAAAAACATAGAATTAAAGAGGATTCGCTCACTGGTGTTCTGTGTTCCCTAAAAATTAATGTGAAATTCCTCTTTTCAATGAACACAGAAGCTAAAGCTTTGGGTTTTCATTGTAAGACATGAAGACCACAGAAGTCTGAGAGCAACAAAAGTTTACCAGAAGCTGTGAAAGAAAGAGTTCTCAACTACTCACCAGCAGGTCATCTCAGGGCCTCTTTTAATAGCCCCTTCTGCCATCTATTTCTGATTGACTTGTCCAGTCATCTAGCAAGCCTTTGCAGGTTTGCCATGACAATGAAAATTACTTAAGAGGTATTTCAAGACTCAACTGGATATTCTCCAAATCACACAAGCATCAAAAACCAGTCAGTTAAATTCCTCCCATTACAAGGAATGCAGTAAATAACAAAAACTGGGAGAAGGGATGTTGGTCATTATCTACAATTCAGAGCCTTTATGGGTCTACCATCTTGTCTCCACTGATCAATTTAATGTACCTTTCAATGCCATTTTTCCACAAACACAAAATTAACAGAAAGGTCAGTGGAAATAAAACCTTCAGAACCCCTCTTTGCCACTGTTCCCTTCAGCTCTAATCATGCAATTTACTATTGTTAGAATGCTCCCGGTTTGCAAACACCTGACTTTCATTTTTATACAGTTCCCCTACTACTTATTTTGAATATTTTGAATAGGTTATTTTTCTGGATAATTTATATGTTAGTTCTTTTGATCATCTGAATTGCATTTAGCTCTTTGCACTTTCTTTTTAAAGGTGAACTCATAAATTTAATGTAACCAAAAATATTATGCCTACTTCGTAACTCTGCAAGAAAATTCTGCTTATTGGTGTCTCCTGTTTTCAGAGCATATTCAAATAAGAGAATATCTTTCAACAGCTCACACAAAATAAATTTTTAAATTGCTTGCAATAGTCTGTCAATAATAACCAGCAGATTATTGCCCCATTCTTATCTTCTTTTTGCACTTCCTGTTTTGTGCCAAATATTTTCCTGCTTTTCCAGATCTATGAAAAAAGCTTGCAATGGACAAGTCCACCTCATCTGTCCAAACTGTTCTGATTCCCTTTCTCCAAAAGTTAATACTTTACTCCACTTACCTATCTTTACAGAGACACACAGTTTACTTTTTTATACCCATGACCTAGTAAAGTATTTTCCAGTTTTTAATTACTTATAGTCTCTATTTTCTCTTATTCTCATTTGTATACCTAATCTGAAATTTATCCATTATTAGTATCTCATAGTTGTATATAGACACTTTCATTGACACATAAGAAACAAGAGAGGCTTACTACATTCTTTCCTTAATTCGAGATGGGGTTTACATAAGCAAAGCACAAAAAGGCAGGCTCTGAGCTGACCAGGCAGCCTGACAAAAGAAAAAATGGGGAAAGGTGCATCCTGCAACTGACTTGCTTATTTTGGCACTTTAAGGGCCCAGATAGAAAAACAAACATCTTGAGCAAAAAACGTGAAAGACTAAAAAGAAAGCCAGTGCAAAAAATTTTGGTTCCTAAATGGTAGTTCTGAAGTAGTACTTCAATTTTGACTTCAACCTTTCTCCCAAATTTTAGTGCCTCCAGCTGGAAGTAGTACTGCCTGTCTGCTTAAGCACTCCCTGAAAGAAGTTGGTACTCAGTTTTTCTAAGTAACTGCATCTTTACACATCACGTTTTGTGCTACCCCAGTGACATTTTCCAGCTTTTCTCATGTAAATTATTTATCTTAATTGACCACACAGCTGTCTTATTCAGGCTGGCAGTGAGTGGGAACATTGAGTTGTACTTTAAACTTTTGACTCAATGATGCAGTAAGTGGCAACTCATTTTAAAGCAATAATAATCGGGTCTTACTTTGATTTGGTTGACATGAAAAGCCTGGAGTGTAAACCAGCTGCGTTTTTGTAAACCTCATGTATAAAAGGAAGCCTTCTTTACCTGTAAATACTCATTTCTAACCTTTCAATTCATGTAGAATAAACTACTGTTTAGTAAGAATGTAGTCGGATGTTTGCGCCCAAGCATGCAACAGGACTGTTTATTTTTTGGGCACTCACCTTGTAAACCCCACATATGCAACTCGTATTTTGAGAACAACTGCGAAGAAAGCCTAGAACACCGACTATAAACTCCTTAAGAAAAAGTGATGCTAGGACATTTTAAAGAGAACATTAAAGAGAACTCTCCCTAACTAAAAGGGGGGCATTTTTCAGTGTGATGGCATCCAGCGAGAGCCAGGTGTTTACTCACTTGCAATTTCTGAACCTGACTGGATCCAAAAACTTTCTGACGTGGTGATATCTGGATCTAGCCAAGTCCAGGTGTGGCCCCGGCCCCACCAGTGCGCTCTCCTTCCCCACGGAACGCCGCAGGCAGCGGCACGCCTGGCAGCCGCTCCGGGACACCCTGCCACCTCCTCCTCCCGCACGCCCCGCCAACACGGGGGTCGGGACGCCCTCCGCGGCGAGCCGGCGGCCGCGGCTGCCACGTCCTGCCTGCCGGGGAGACCGGCGCTCGCTGCCGGACGAGCTCGTCTTGTACCAGCGCTTTTCAACTCGGGAAGGCGACAGAGGAGGCTGCCCGCCGCGGAGCGCGAAGTTCAGCCGCCGCCAAGGCAGCGAGGCGGCGCGCAGAGCCGCGGCGGGACGCCCCCCGGCGATGCCCTCCCCCTCCCGAGCCGCGGACGGCTCCCTGGCCTGCGCCCCTTTTCACACCTGGCTTCGAAGGGGAAGGCCACGGCCCCAAGCTCTCCGGCATACCTGTCCCCGAGCATCACCTCCCGCGGCCCTCGGTGGGAGGCCGGGGCGGCTCCGCTGACCGCCCCGCGGCGGCGGCGGGGCCTGCGGCGGGGCCGTGGTCGGGCAGCGGCCGCGGGGCCGCCCGTCCCTTGCCCTCGTCGTTGTCCCTGCCCCGGCGGCGCAGGGCGGCGGCAGCGGACCCTGTCCGCCCGCCGGCCGGCCGCAGCGCCGGTGCCCGCTAGGAAGTAGTTGTGAGTAGCGTTACCTGTCCTATATTGACGTATCCGTATTTGCTCGCTATCCTGTTGGCCTCCGGGAGCCCCCCGGTTATCCGCACAGCCCAGTGGTTGGTGTAGAGGCGCGTCCTGCAGGCGGGCAGCAGGAACCCCAGCACCAGGGTGAGCCGGCAGAGAAGGTCCCCGCCGCCTCCGCCTCCCCAGCAACAGCGGCGTTTCCAGCCCATCTTCTCCTCCGCACGCAACCCCCACAAAACTTCTCCTTCCTTCTTCCGAGGCCCTTGTCCTCTCCTCCGGGCCGCTCCGGCGATACGTCCTCCGAAGTTAGCCCGAGGAAGAAACTAGGAAGAGCTTGGAGTAGTGCATTGAACCGCCCGGGGGTTAAATGATGAGGGTATGGGAATAGTGGTTCTGATCAGTGATTGCTGCTGTGCCCTCTTTCCGCCGCTCTCCGGGGATTGAGTAACTTGCTTGTGAGAGCTTCTCTCACTGTTCCTGAGCGCCAGCTTCTCACTCTATCCCTAGCTACATGGGAAGTCGTCTCTCCGCGGGGAGGAGGGGTCCTTCTCCCTCTCTCTACGTTTCCCTCCTCTCTGACTTCCTTCCCCCTGCCAGTGGTCTTCTGCCTCCTCTCCCGCGTCTGGCTTTTCTTCGCCTCCACTCGCTCCCTCTCTCCGGAATCCGGGAGCAGTGCGGCTGTGGCGGCAGGCGATGTGTGAGTGTTGGCAGCTCAGAGCCTCAGTGCGCTCCGACTCGGCCACCTCCCTCTCCCCTCCCTCCTCCTTCTCCTCCGCCTCCTCTCCCCGCCCTCGCTCCCGCAGCGCCGAAGGCCAGGGGAAATGGCAGCCGCGTCGGCGCCGGGTTGCCTCGTTCTCTGCGCTCCTCGGCCCCGGGCTACTGCCGGTCTCGGAAGCCAGCGCCCCGGAGCGCTGTGCCTGACCCCCCACCGGACCCGGAGGCCGCCGCCCCGCCGGCGGGGCCGCCGCAGACGCGGCGAGGTGCGAGGCCTGCGGCAAGGCGCCGTGTTCGGCGCCAGCGGC